TTCCCTGTATTTAAAATAGCTCAAGACTTTTGTGAAAAAGAATTACATGCAAAGGTAATCATTTTTGACCAAACCCATGATTTTAATGGTAACATCATAGAATGACTGATAATTCAGTGATAGGAGTTAGAATAGTTTTTTGTCCAGAGATGTGAAGTCATATCAGAACTAAAGACATTGGTTGATTGGTTTGAAACTTCTTTTTAACGCTGGAGGGTGCATGTGTGCAGGAGAGAGAGAGGGGGGGAGAGAAAGCATTCCCAACGAGGCCTGGTCACGATACAATTCTTTTTCTTCCTGTTCTCCATCTTGTCAGGGTCTGGGCATATGCACACACCCAATGTGTTTGAATCCACTGGGACAGACTTGAATCCTGGCTGGTCACATGGGATCCAGCTCAGTCTGCGTGGCATTAACTATTGTACTATGGGGCAGGCCAGGTGTGGAATTTTTAGATTTCCATCCTGAAAATCCGTTTAGATGTATTTATGAGAATGCATGCATTCAGGCTCTCGAAAGGTACTGCTGCTCCTATGCTCTCTTAGTTTGCATGAGTAAACCTTCTTGGGCAAAGGAAGAGTCTATATTAATAGTTGACTTATGGAGAACGTAGTTACAACATGCAGCTCCCTGCCTCAGTGCATTTCTTTCTTTCTTTTTTTTTTTGGAGAGATTTTCACTGTAGGGCGCGTGCGCTCACCAGACAGACAGAGAGAGACATAGAGACAGAAAGCGAGAAATCACCCCCCAGGGGGGATGGTCATGCCGCAATCCCTTCTCCTCCATTCTCCTCTCGGGATCTTGGGCACGCACGCACACACGCCTGGCGTGAGTTTTAAGCCACCGGGTCTGGGACGTGAACCGCGGTCGACTGCGTGGGAGTCCAGCGACATAGCCATTATGCTAACTGCTGGTTCCCTCAGTGCATTTCTGAATAACCTAACCCAACATTATGGTGTTAGATTGGAACTAAAAACTCATGCTCCAAAAGCTTACGAGTGGGTCGGGATTATATTTAGTTTTACTGGATGGAAAATTCTAGCAGGATGAGTTATCCACTTTCCGAGACTACTGTAGGTTATAAGCATCAACTGAGAAGACAAGTTGACTATAAGGGCATGAGGTTACTGAGAAGAAAGTTTTCAGGAATCATTAAGTCTTGCAAATGACAGATTTCATCCTTTTTCTGGCTAAGTAGTATTTTGTTGTATTTTCTTTGCCCATTCATCTGTTGGTAAGTATTTAGGTTGGTTCTATGTCTTATTATTGTGAATAGTAGCAATAAAAAATGAAAATATAAAAAAGAATCCCTCATTTGGGTCATTTACTTTAGTGGCAAATATTCTAAAATACTTCAGTAAGAATTTGAAAAGCTCACCCTATGATGACAACCTACAGCACTGACTACTATTTTAGAACAGACTGGAATTGTGCCCTAGAAGGGCAGGGACAGCGTTTTTCTTTCACTACATTTCTAGTGCCTAGAATGATGCCTGGCCCATGGTCTTGCTCATACGTTTTGCTGAAAAAAATGCACTTACAAAC